AACACCATAACTGCCTGGAGAGAGCAAGTCAGGGCTAGTGAGCTTGCTCTCTCCCTCACTACATCTTCCCCACCGCTGCCGCAGGACAACGCACATTCTGCCTCATCGCCACTGCAGGCTTCCTCCCCTTCCTCACGCCAGCTGGGACCTTGTTCGCCTGTCCGTTCGCCTGCCTTTTTCCTGGCGGCTGTGTGGTCGGAGGATGAGGAGGAGGTCTCCGTTTCTCCACCGGTTCCTGTTCCCTCGTCAAAAAGGAAGCGACGCCACCGTCGCTCCTCTCCTTGGTCATCCGTTCAGCCACCTGTCTCCGCTGGAGGGTCCGAGGGGCCCGTTCAGCCACCTGTCTCTTCCTGCTGGAGGGTCCGAGGGGCCCGTTCAGCCACCTGTCTCTTCCTGCTGGAGGGTCCGAGGGGCCCGTTCAGCCACCTGTCTCTTCCTGCTGGAGGGTCCGAGGGGCCCGTTCAGCCACCTGTCTCTTCCTGCTGGAGGGTCCGAGGAACCGCTTCAGCCACCTGTCTCTTCCTGCTGGAGGGCCCGAGGAACCGCTTCAGCCGTCTCTTCCTGCTGGAGGGCCCGAGGAACCGCTTCAGCCGTCTCTTCCTGCTGGAGGGTCCGAGGAACCGCTTCAGCCGTCTCTTCCTGCTGGAGGGTCCGAGGAACCGCTTCAGCCGTCTCTTCCTGCTGGAGGGTCCGAGGAACCGCTTCAGCCGTCTCTTCCTGCTGGAGGGTCCGAGGAGCCCGTTCATCCTTCTGCCACGTCAGCTGGAGGGGCCGAGGAGCCCGTTCAGCCTCACGCCTCGTCAGCTGGAGGGCCCAAGGAGCCCGTCCAGCCGCCATTAGCCTCTGCCTCGGCTCCGCCTGGTCCGGCCTCAGCTTCTGCGGCTCCGCCTGGTCCGGCCTCAGCTTCTGCGGCTCCGCCTGGTCCAGTCTCCGAGTGTTCAGCTTTGTCTGCTCCTGAGGTCTCCAATCTGTCGGTTCCTGCACGTCCCGTCCGGCCTGCACGTCCTGTCCGACCTGCACATCCTGTCCGGCCTGCTCGTCCTGCACGTTCTGTCCGGCCGATGACTGGACGTTGTTGCCGTCATGGACAGTCCTCGGAACTACGCCGCCGTCATGGACGGCCCCCTGAACTACTCCGTCACCAATGCCTCCAGCCCGGCCGGCCTCCTGACCTGCTCGGTCGCCGTCGGTGCCCCCCGCCCGGCCAGCCTCCTGATTTGCTCTGTCGCCACCGGTGCCTTCCGCCTGGCCGGCCTCCTGAACTGTTTTCTGGGCTCTTGGACCATCAGCCTCCGGGCCGCCCCCTTGAACTTTTTTGAGACTATTGCCTGGGCCTCTGCGCCTTTCGTGAGCTCTTTTGTTTGTTTGCTTTTGGACTTTGCCTGGGCCTTGGTGCTGTTGTTTTGGACTTTGTTTCTGTGTTTTGTTCTGTTGCTTTCCGGGCTCCAGTGTTTGCACTTTTTTTTGTTTTGTTGTTTCTGGCTCCTTGTTTTGTTTCGAGTGTGTGGAAGGACAAAACAATATGGTTTGAAAATGCCATTTCACTGCTTTCCTCCTCTCTCAGTCGGCATGTTCATGGTGCCCACATTTTCTTCTGGAATATGTTGAGCAAACCTGGAGAAGCTTCAGCTCAAGAGATCATTATTGGCATTGCTGTCATTTGTTACTGTTAGGATGCCTGGGTCGTCGACCCAGGGTTTTTGAGTTTATAATATTATGTATACTTTCTAGTTTTTGGTTTCTTTGAGTTCTGTCTTATGGCTTATGTCTTTGTCTTCTTTAGTTGCTCTGTCTCCCCTATCACCTGCATCCCCTTGTCTAGTTCGTGTATATATGTATCTTAAGTTCCTATATCCCCGTGTTCAGTCAGTGTTTGTGTCTGCCCTGTTCCCACGTCTCTGTTCCCTTTGTTATAGTGCCTGCCTGTGAGTCTGTGTTATGTTTCCTGTTTTACTTTGAAAATCCATGTCTGTTGTTAATGTGTCTGGTTTTGCTTCCCCTTGTCTCGTTAGGCCTGATTTGCCCCAGCTGTGTTTCCCTCCTGTTACCCATTCCCTGATTGCTCCCTCTGTGTATTTAAGCCCTGTGTTTCTCTGTGTCTGTGTCGCGATCTACCGTTTATTTTGCTGTGTGTTTTGTCAATCCGCCGGTGTTAGTTTATTTTTGACCTTTTTTCCCCAGTTATGTTATGTTTGAGTTCAGCATTAAAGCTGTTTTGGTTTAAGTTCTGTCTCCGGAGTCTGCACCTTGGGTCCTATTCCTGTCTGCACACAGCCACACCTAACAGTTACGTGATACACTGATTTGGTGAGTAAATGTTTTCTTTTATTCAAACTGTTTTTGTGCCTTCTCTCAGTTTAACACCAGGTTTATAAACTTGCCAGCTAGCCAGTGTTAGACTAGCTTTTGTGTTACCAATGGGTGCATGCTGCTGCCTCTTGGCTCATGTTACTTAAAAATTAACACCACAGTTTTAAAAGTCTAATACAAAAATCTCTCCGTGAAATTTTCTGTTGATTATTTGAAATAGAAAAATGAGCCCAGACGTGACTTTTTCGGAAGGTGCAGTCGTTAAAGGTGGGGGCTTGTTTTCAATCCATATGAACTCCTATAACATATGAACTGTATATTCTTAACCTCTGTATTTATTTTAATGCTTTGTGGTTGCTTTTAAACATCTGTGACATCTATTAATGTCAAATCTAGCCTTTCTTTGATTTAATGAACATTTCTGGTTAATTACATTTTTTTTATTATTATTATTATTAATAATAATAATAATAATAATAATAATAATAATAATAATAATAATAATAATAATAATAATAATAGTTTTTGTTGTGTTTAGACGGGTTTTATTGTGAAAGTCCAAAACCATAAACCAGAATAGTGGCCTGTTAAACTGTTAAAGCTTAGGTTGGCTTTATAGTTGAAAATAAAATAATTTAGCTTGTCCATCTAAACAAATAAGTTGAATTACACAGTTGAATCATAAGAAACATTTTGGGGTTGGCTATGTTACTTATAAACTAGTGCTGTCAGAGTTAATCTCATTAAAATGACGTTAACCACATTAATGTGGCAAATCTCCGTTAGCGAGTTAACGCAGTTAGCTCGTTAACGCATTAGCGCCATGCAGCCATTCACACGGGGCGATCTGTGTTAACTTAAGTTTACACTTAAGTTTCAGAAGAGCTACCCCGTCAGGCCAGGGCTCTGCAGTCTATTCACACCTACAGGCCAGTGGATACTCTGTCAATGATGAGGATGTGCACATCCTGGACAGGGAGGAACGCTGGTTTGAGCGCGGAGTCAAGGAAGCCATGTACGTGGAAGGGGAAAGACCATTTCTGAATCGAGGAGGGGGCCTAAGGATACATCTTTCGCCATCTCACAGCCATTCCCCAACTCTCTGTGAATGGTACTCATGGCCATTGATCAAATGGTCATGAGAATTTGCATAATCATGATGAAGAAACTGACCTCCCAGCCCATTGTTCCTTCAGTGGTGCTGGTTTCAGTCATTATGCAAATGTGCTGTTTATAAGATTGGGCAAACCTGCAGTCAGCTGAGACTGAAGAAGTCACTTGGATGAGTGAGGAAACGTTTCTCCCACAAAACGCTACATCCAGATGAACAGAATCAACTTTTGGAGATTTACACTTAAGTTTAAACTTAAGCTAATTTAACTTAAGTTTCAACCCCACGTTGCTTTCTGGATTTTATACTTATTTATTTTACTGGCTACATAAAATCAAAATTCACATGTTTTATGTAACTAAAATGTTTAATTATCTGGGCTAAAGAAAATAAAGTTATAGACTATAATATTTTATATGCATATTACAGGATGTAACACTAGCATGAGTAAAAACATGGCTTTGATTTTGCCACACCATTTGATTTCCATGCTACCCTAGGAAATTTTCACTAGATCCGCCCCTGCCAGGGCTCAAACTACCGACCCTCCAATTAATAGATAGCCTTCTCTACCTCCTGACCTACAGCCACCCCGTGTGCTAGCATGCTAAGCTTTGTGTGCCTCAAGTTTATATTGTAATTATGAGACAGTGTTTCAGGTCATTTTATGGAGTAATGTAAATATCAACACTTCACTGAGTTCTTTTGATTCCTCAGAGGCATCTGATGGAAGACAAAACATTGCTCAGTAGACCATTTAACCCTTTATTTCTCTTTTATATTACTTCTAGACGGGAGATGCGTCCTGCATGACACGTTGCCGCGGATCTCAAAATGGTGGTGTACCCCTAACAGTTTTATTACAGACGCTCTCTCATTCTAGTCTAAACAACAGTGTCTCTGTAACTTTCCACTAGAGATGGTCCCCTCGTATCTACTTTTCCCAGGCAAGCGTGAGTGAGAGTCTACAGCTTTCTACTCCCCAAGGACACATGGTCTCATGCCTTTATTTTTCAGGGCTGTGTCCACTTAATACTACACTATATAACTTTATAACACTTATTAATAAAAAGGGAGGCACTGCAAATTATTTAATCCCAACGGTAATGAGAAAGTAAGCTATTGCAGAAGTGTAACTAATTACTTCCCTGCCAAGTAATTAAGTAATATGGTGCATTACTTTAGGAAAGGTGATGGATTACTTAACGTCCCCAGCACTGTAGATGGGTTGAAACTGACTGTGGTGTGTGGAGTGAGTGTTTTACTGACGGGGTGGGTAAAGGAAACACGCCTTCAGATCATGTGTTCCAGTTTTTCAGAATAAAGTTTGTGTATTTGTCAGGGTAGTAAAATGTGGGATTAATCCATGAAATGACTGCATGGATGCCGTGAATGTTCGGCTTCCCCCTCAGCATCTGGTCCTGGTGTTTGGATGCTGAGGGCCCCCTCAGACTCAGGCCTCCTTAAACGTGTTTACGACCCTGGGTAAAGCTGCTCTGTTGTCACTGCTCCCTCCCTCCCTCCCTCTGACTCCGCACTGGTTGGAGCTCCTCCTGCTCACTCTCCGAGCGGCCGCCTCTCCGTGCGGAGCTCACAGGCGCCTCTCCGCAGATGGGTGACTGCTCCACTTCTCCCGCTCTTCTCCTCCCAAACACGGCGGCAGCTTCTTTCAGCTGTGTACCGCAGGCAGCAGCAGCCCCTGCGCCGAGCACAGAGGCAGGACTGACGGGAACCGCGCTCCAGGTGTAAGCTCAGCTCAGGTGAGGATCTTTGACGCTTTGTGTCTCTGTGCAGGACTGCAGCTGCGTCCATTTAAATGTGAGTCATGTGAACGTGTTGGCATTTCGCGCGTGCACCCAGAGAAGTGATCTCAGAGATGTGCTGTGTGTTCACCTTCCGATCAAAGCGTGAGACATAAAGGCTCACGTGCACGGACAGAAATTCATCTCAAAAGTTAAAATATGGAAGACCGAAAGTGCCCCCAAAAATCATGACGTCAACAAATTACTGATTAAAATGGTTAAAATGCTTTTACAGGCACCAGAAACCACACTGAAAATAACCATAACATCCACTGTAAAATGTGACACAAATGAAGAATAAAGTTTATGTAGTGACATCCCTGTAGTTCACTCACTGAAGGAGGAAACAGACAAACAAACTAATTAATTAATAGTGAGCAAACAGTGACTACAGTACAAAACAGACATTTTTCATAATGAATAAATTATTAAAATAGAAGGTTAAAGGGAAGGTAAAACAACATCGCTTCAGTCCCATTTCATACATTCAGTGCCTGCACTTCATTTCTGCCTTTGTTCTTTGGTGTGTATTTTATAAGATTTAAAAATGTATTTAATATTTACTGGCATCAGCATCCTTGTCATAATAGTCAGTTGGAGAGGATATTAAATGGCTCAAACAATAATTATTTATTTATTATACTTGTAAATATGCGACACGTTGATAGGCTTCTTTCTCTTTTTTGTCTCTTAATGATGACATTTAATTTTGTGTTTGTGTGCCGAACGCATTTGTGCTTCCACATTAAAGGCATTGATGTCTGTGGAGTGCTTCCCACATCTTGTTATAACATAATCAGCATCATTTTAATCATCAGTTCAATGTCACGGTTTGATTTCGAGAGAACGCTGGACCTGTGTGAGGAAATGAAACAGCGACCAGACTGATCCACACGTTTGTTCTGCACACTTCATTCAGTTTTATTTATACAACGCCAAATTACAACAGCGCTCCCCACAGGGCACTTTGCACTGTAAAGACTGCAATCATACAGAGAACACAGAGAAAACCCTGACAGTCATGTGACCTCCTATGAGCCTATGACCGCCTACCTCACTCTGCTTTTCTTCCACACTCTTCAGTTTAAAAACAGTCACACTTCTTATTTACATGAAGCCAAGGTTCGAAACACCCTTGGTTCAGGTGGGTGAAGCTGGAGGGTGGTGTCAGGCTTCTGTCTTCAGGCTGGAAGCGATTGGTAAAGTCCTGCCTGTCAGGGCGGCAGACTCCAAGAGGGACGGGGAGCGTGAAGCTCCGGCTGGCTTGGACTCGTTGACGTCTTTCTGCACTTTTCTAAGTTTGTAGCATCAGTAGCAGAACAGCACCACTGTAGAGTCCATAATAATCACAGCTGGAAGGTGATCCTGGACTTTAAATGACTTTTGACCTGCTCCCACCAGAGCTGACACCTGTCCCACCTGCTGATCTGACCCTGAAGGTTTACCCAGAATGCACGCTGTGAGTGATCAGAAACGGGTCAAAGTGCTGCAGGTCGTTCCGACTCGGACAGATGATAACACATTTGTTCAGAGACCAGGTTCAGTCCTCAAACTGAGTATTTAACCCTTTAAAACCGGTCAGCGCGGACACGCTCCGTTTTGCGCAACTACTTTTAAATCCTTGTAGCACTGCAACCACGTGAGCTAGCGCAATAATTTTTTTTGCATATGAAACCGGAGGAGTTGTACTTACATCTAGGTCACAGTTTCCTTCCACATATAGCTTTGCAAAAACTGCATAAAAAGCACTTGCAGCAACAAAAACATAATATTCCAGAAACGCGCTTTGCCGATCCGATCAGCTGTTCGTAACACTTCCTACATTAGAATAGACGTCAGCGTGAGCTATCGCATGTCCTCCATTACCTGCCCAAAACCGGAAGTGACGTCATTTTCGCGGAAATGTAGTTTTTTAACCATCAGGGCCTTATGAGCCTATACTGGTGTTTTTTAAAAGTTATGTTTGACTTTATGACTTTGTGTCTTTTCTGGGATGCTCAGGACTCATATTGCACTGCTGGAAATAGTTTATTTTGATGCATATGCTGCTTTTTTGCAAATTTGCATTATAATATTTATTTTCGTTTTTCCTGCAGTGTATAAAAATTGGTGTATTTCAAAAATAAAACTATGAAGACACTCAAAATAAATTTCCTGTGGTGGGAAACTATTTTGTGCAACTTTTTTGTATTTACAGTTTTGAGGGATAAGCCTCTTATATTTCTCTAACTAGAAATATATGTTAAAAAAACAAAAACAATTTTCAATTTTTTTGTAGTTTATTGCACTTTCTTGCAATTTAGGTAATTTCTATGCACTTAATGCATGCATATTATTAAAATTTGGGCTATAATGGTTGTATTGATGTATAGCAACTCGAAATGCTCCCAAAAATGGCACTACAACATGTAAAAATATAATATAAGCTCTGGCAGACTTGGTTCTATGGTAGGTCTTAAAGGGTTAACTGATCTGGGTTCAGTTTCTATCAGAGCTGAACCGAGTGTTTCAGGCCTGAAAGTTTGATGTGGAGATCTCCTGGACTGATGAAGCTGCGAGGCTCAGACAGAGGGAGGCTGCCGAGCGGATGGACGGGTGGAGAACAACGGACTGACTGCCGTTAAACTCCTTGCTGTGAATGAGGACTTGTAATCCACTCTACCACAGTATTGTACACTGTATTCAAGTCTACAACATTAGGGGCGTGGCCTCTTTCACTGACAGGTGGATGGTGACACAGGCGGCTGTAGCTGCTAGCTGTCTGCTAACAGGATCTCTGGACTGTGTTTCTGTTGTTGGAGAATTTTAGAGTAATATTAATGACATCATGGGACCAATAATATGACTGCTGTGAGGTTACTGTACTAACAGAGCGTTCAAGAAGGTGGAGCTCCATGTCAGATTTAAATTCTAGGGTTTTATGTGGATGTTACTGAGCACTCAGTAGTGATGGTCTTTGGGTTTTATGATTTCAGTTTCTGATCATCTGTTCAGAGTCTGTGAGTACTTTAGTTTCCTTGGTTTTTCACATTTTACTTTGGTAGTTTTTGTCTGCTATGTCTAGGTTGAACTTTTACTTACTGTTCAGCAGTGGTTCATTCATTTCCTGTTTGCCCGTCCACCGATCGGCCCTTGGTGTGTATGAATAGTCCTGTCCTCCTGTCGATCATCCGCATGTGCTCTTTGAGTTCAGTTTCTGTGTTTTCAGATTTCTCTTCTTTGGACTGTTTAAGTAAAAAGGTTCATGTTTGAATTTCAGTCCTGGTCCTGCAAAACATGAACAGTAAGGTGTGTGTGTGTTTTGCAGTTTTTGCAGCATTATCCTTACAGCTGTGGATCGCCTGTTTGTCCCATTGAGCTGCATCCGTCTTCTTGGCGAGCATTCACCATGTTAGGAACTTCAGCTGCTCGGTCGCTGCAACAGATTCTATTTGACCTTTGAACTGCAGCACAGCAGTGATTATGAATGAAGGAAGACCTTAAACATGGCATCAGACTGACAAAGCGGAAACAAACATCCAGGACGCGGTGTGACGCCTGGCTTCACCTGAGCTCATGAAGCTCAGCAATGAGCGTTTGCACTTGATCTCCACGACTTCCTGTTCCTGTCTCGGAGCTCCTGTCCCTATGAAGAGTTTGGAGCTGACCAAATGATTTGATTTGGATCGAAAAGCAAAACGAAAGACAGACTATGTAAATGATTTTAACAGTTTTCCTACAGGGAAGGATGTGACATCACAGTGATGCAGTGAGTTTATCACAGAAGTGAATTCTCCAGAAATAAATTGAAAGAATCTGTTCTGCACACAGCGATAGAGTCAGGGCAGCCTGAGCGTCAGCGAGTGCTCTGAGCGTTACATCCTCCTGTCAGCTGACATCAGCGTCAGCTTGGCCCGCTGGACTGGTGTTTTACGCCGGCCCACGGCCACTCACCGATGACACAAAGAAAACAGGCATGAAATCTGTTAGAAGCCACAGTCTGCTCACTGCTGAGTCACTCAGGGCTGCTCAGGAACATCTGAGCCCCCCGAGCTCCTCAGACCTGCAGCTGTCTGAGGTCTACGGAAATTTGTGGTTCTCAGCTGAATGTGCTGTGGTGATTTGTCTGTTCTGCTTTTATTTTGGAGGTCAGGTTCAAATGTGGTGTAGAGAGGACCTGAACACTGGAGGCTTATCATTGGCTTATTTGAAAGTCCAGAGGATAAAGTCCAAACTACAACTGCATGTCCTCAACAAAAGACAGCTGTGAAACATGATTCAGAGGAAATATCACAGAAAAAAACAACTCTAACGAGAAGCTCAAAACACTAAAGAAACCAAACTCACCAAAAAACCAGGAAGTATCAACCAGGAAGTGAAATCCAGGAAGTGAAAATGTCTTCTAGTTACATTTTCAGAAAAGCAGACTTCCTGTTATCCTGCCATGTGACTGGTGACAGGTGAGCTTCCATGACTTCGTTGTCATGGTCGGTCTGTTGGGGTGCTGTCACAGCTGGGGGATCTTCTCGTTCTCTTGTAAGTAAAAGTGATCGTTTCTCAGCCGGCCATCTTTACATCAGTGAAATGTCGCTGAACGATGATGTGGTGGCATCAACATCGCCTCAATAAAACACAATTGTGTTTACAGACATCTTCAGTGAAAAACACGTGAAACATGCCTCGCACTCCTGATTCACTCACTAATGGTTTTAGTGATGAGATCCCCCATGGGTGTTCTGTCCAGCTCTGGAGGATCTGTCTTTGGTTTCTGAGGATTTATGCCTCCGGGATAACACCTGATGTAGATCACCTCACCGTGAGGTGTCTGTGAGAGCTGAGCCACATGCTGTGAGTCAGTGGAACATGGCACTTGATGGAAACACCATTAATCATCCTGCCCCTCGTCCCTCGGTAACCAGGATGCTATCGGGCTTGTTAATCACGCCGTCGTCCCAAAATGAGAAGCTGAAGAAAATAAA